ATTATACAAAGCCAGCATAGTGTACAAAGATGCAAAACTTCTGAAACCAAACCATAGTATTACCATGTGAGCCCTTATAGGAAAATACAAAAGTAGCTTATAAAAGTAGTGCATAGAACTTAAGAATCTTCTAAAATGTTAATAGGAAAGTTCCTAATTTTTCCCGGAAGGAACAGATTTTGTAAAATAAAAGAAATAGACTAACAGAATTAGCGATGAAATGACTATTAGATATAAAGCGTTACATTGCCAGGAAGTCCTGCAAAGGCAAGGTGTTGGTGGGTTTCTTTAAATAATTTTTTTTTTGTTAGTCATGCCCAACAGGCAATTTTGGTTCTATTTCTGTGTGTTATATTTTAAACTTAATTGTGACAACTTAGTTGTCTAGAGTTAAGTGAAGTATCATAATCTGTTCAATTCTTCCTTTGGCTGGAGAGACAGTTATACAGGTAGGACATACTCAAAGGAGTAATAAAATGCATCTTGGTCTCTAATTTTATGGAGCTGTGTTTCCTTAATTATATTTTCCTTGAGCTAATATTAAAATTTCACCACTTTGCATTTCCCAAACAGATGCCAGTGAAAGATGAGGGAGGAGGGGCTGGATGGAAAGGAAAGGAAAGCCGGCCAGGAATAGTTACCGCCTATATCGTAGGCGTACGTGTAGGAAGGAGGGTTACCTGGGCCAAATTAGGACTGAATTCTAGGGACACGATCTTGATGACTTCTTGTGTTTACTGTCAAGCTCTCAATCCCTGGTAGTGCTTTCCCCCCATGCAGATGTTTCTGTTGCCCGCCCTTGGCTCTTGCTCAGCCGGTCCCTTACGTAACAGTTGGGCACAAAGGTGGTTGGGCTCCTTCTGCAGAGTTGCTCTCATGCAGGGTGGATGCTTCACCTACAGGTGCTCTGTGTGAATCCTATGCTACGTGCACTCATGTTATATATACAAAGTATACATATACGTACAGTATATGTACATGTTTACGATATATACAATGTGCCCAGCTACACACACTCATGAGTGCGCTGCAGAGAAACATTTTTCTTCTGAGAACAAAGATGCTACAATTCCTTGAGACTGATATGAAATATTTACCTCAGAAAAGTGTAAATGTGTGCCTTTCATAAATTAAGTCATAAGTTCCTCCATGAGATAACTCTCCCACAAGACTTAGAAAAGAAGAATTTTTGATGATTCACCTCCAGGAGCCAGCCTTCTGACAGACATTTAAAAGCAGCATAGTCACACCTCCCTTGTACCAGTTATATTGTAAGTATTTGCTTTTTATTAAATTGTGAGCTCCTTGAAGGGAGTGATTATATTTCATTTTTATACCTTTAGTATCTGGCCCTCAATACATGTTCAATGATACTGTCACACCTGATGTTCTTTTGACTTGTGACATCCTTTAACAGATGTATGAATTCAGGTAACACTTCAACACACACACACACACACACGAATCCCAGTGGTTAGTAGAGTCCTGGGGTGGGTAGTAGAGGTTTGGTACAGGTGAGCCAGGAAGAAAGTTCAGAACTAATGATTTGTAGACAGGTGTTTAAGAGCTTGTTGGATTTACAACCTGATTCTAGGCATCTAAGAAACCACTTGATTTTTGTAGCAGGGCAGGTTGAAATCCAAAAATCTGCTTGAAAGGAAAAAATGAGATAGGAGTGCTTATTTTCTCTTGGTATATTGCCGTCCGCCCTGTTCGTGGAAGGTAACCCACAGTGTGTATTATTGCCCTGTTCGTCAAGGACTGGATGAGAACAGCAAAAGCCCTGCAATTGTAAATTAAATCTACCAGTGGTATAACTTTTTATGTGAACTTTTTTTCTCTGCAACACGTGATGTGTAGAAAGCAATCTTTAGACACAAGTGATCTTGGAGGATTACTTAGTCTTTCTGTGCCTCAATTTCCTTGTATTTAAAATGAGGATAGCAATATCTATGCCCTACAGTTGTGAAGATTAGAAATAATATGTAAGGATTCTTTTAACTAGCACATTAGCTCATCTATAAATATTTGATGCCACATCCCAAACGTTGTTCTTTTTGAAATTTATAAACTTAAATAGGAAAAAAAATTAAAATGCAGACCCCAGAGAAGATAAGATTCCTTCAGGATATAAGGAGGTGCGTAATTTACAGTGGAAGCTTAGACCAAAAGCTAACATAACAAGAGATTCTGCCCTTAGCTCTGTAGTGGCCTTGAGTGCTGCCCCAAAGATAACAGAGGACTTCGTTCTCCAGACAGGGTCCTAGAACTTGAGTGGCATGCTGAGGGATGGTGACTGGCTTTGGCATCAGGGGAGCTCATCCTGGTTCAGGTGCTGACATTAACTCAGGATGATGCTGTGAGCAGTTACAAGCTGCCTACCCTCTGTATTACTTTCTTAGGGCTGCCTTTAAAAAGTACCACAAACTGTGTGGCTTAAAGCAATAGAAATTTTTTCTTTTATAGTTCTGGAGACTAGAAGTCTGAAAGTAAGGTGTTAGCAGGGTCATGCCTTCTGAAGGCTGTAGGGAAGAAGCCTTCCTTTCTTTTTCCCAACTTCTGGAGGCTTAGTCCTTGGTGTTCGTGGCCCTGGAGTTGGGTTGCTCTAGTCTCTGCCTCCATGACCACATGGGCTCCTTTGCATGGTGTGTTGCTTAATTTGATGTGTCAGCTTGAGTGGGCCACACTGGTGCCAGATTACACACTGCTTCTGGGTGTGTCTGTGAGGGTGTCTCCAGACGAGAAGAGCTTTTGATTTGGGGAACTCAGTAAATGGTTTGCCCTCCCCAGTGTGGGTGGGTATCATCCAAGCTGTTAAGGAACTGAATAGAACAAAAGGTGGAGGAAGGAGGAATTCATCCCTTTTTTTCCTGTTTCACTGATTGATCGGGGTCATTTCACTTCATCTTTTCCTGCCCTCAGACTGCGATGTACATCACTGTCTCCCCTGGTCCTCAGGCCTTTAGACTCACTACATTATGCTACCAGCTCTCCTGGGTCTCCAGCTTGCAGATGCAGATCATGGGACTTCTGAGTCTCCATCATCTTGTGAGCCAAGTCATCATAATTGTGTGTGTGTGTGTGTGTGTGTGTACACACGTACAGTTACCTGACTCCCAAAGTGGGTGGGACAAATATGCTTTCAGGTCTGTAGAAAATAAGTAGCTAGTCCAATCAGCTTTCTACCAGGACTCTTTCCTGGTAAGGTTGACTTAGTAGCTGATGGGAAAGATAGGCCTTAGAAAATCCTTTGCTCCTTTAAATTAAGCAGGAGTATGGTGATTAAGAGAAAGAGCCAGACATGCCATTTGAAGGACACGTTGGCTGTTTATGCATCTCATTATAATCCTCAAATTTTTGAAAGCTGGAAAGCATGTATGAAGAATGTTTCCAGTATAGCAGATAAATAAAAACTCTCTTTAAAACAGCTTTACAGTGTCCACATTGCTTGCTCTTATGAGAGCACAGGTGCTTATGATCTTAATGTTCACTGTTACAGGTTTAAATGTGTTCCCCCCACCCCAATTTATATGTTGAAATCCTAACCCCCAAAGTTTGGGTTATTAGAAGGGGGGTACTTTGGGAAGTGATTAAGTCATGAGGGTGGAACCCTCATGAATGGGATCAGTGCTTTATAAAAGGGTCTCCAGAGAGATCCCTAGCCCCTCCCCCACCATGAGGACATGGTGAGAAGGCAATGGCTATGAAGCAGGAAGGGGACCCTCATCAGAACATGAGCGTATTGGTGCTTTGATCTTGGATTCCCAGTCTGCGGAACTGTGAGAAGTAAATTTTTGCTGTTTATAAGCCACCCAGTCTGGCATCTGTTAGAGTAGCCCAAATGCACTAAGACGCCCCAGTACCTCAGAAGGTGACCTTATTTGGAAATGGGGTTATTGCAGATGTGATTAGTTAAGATGAGGTTATTACGGTGAGTTCTAATCCAGTATGATTGGTGTCCTTATGAAAAGGGGCAGTTTGGGCCCAGAGGCAGACATGCATAGTGCCAAGATGATGTGAAGACACAAGAAGACAGTACCTTGATTCTGAACTCCTAGCCTCCAGAACTGTGAGAAAATAAATTTCTTTGGTGTAAGCCACTCACCTTGTGGTACTTTGCTATGGCAGCCCTAGCAAACAAATACGTACTTTCTGGGTGTATATTCCTACCAATCCCCAAACCTGAGTTGGGGGGTGGTGGTGAGGGAAGCCATTAACTAACTGCTCAACTGATGGTCAGAATGCACCCCAGAACCAGAACGTCTGGACCGGTTCCTTGGTGTCACCTTTAGCATTGTTCTTTTCCAAGAACGCGTTTCGTCAAGGCTCAGGCGGCCGATGAAATCGCAGTGCTCTCTCTCTGTCCGTTTTTCCTGCCTTTCCAACCAGCCTAGTTTCCAGAGCTACATTTAAGACATAGCCAGCACGGGCGCCTGGGTGGCTCAGTTGGTTAAGTGACTGCCTTCGGCTCAGGTCATGATCCTGGAGTCCCGGGATCGAGTCCCACATCGGGTTCCCTGCTCAGCAGGGAGTCTGCTTCTCCCTCTGACCCTCTTCCCTCTCATGCTCTCTATCTCTCATTCTCTCTCTCAAATAAATAAATAAAATCTTAAAAAAAAAAAAAAAAGACATAGCCAGCACTGAAAGTACAGAGGTCAGCCTTAGGCGATTCTTGTGGCCCTGAGGAAAATGAGCATGTGAGGTCTGATCGCAGCCGGGGTCTCTGGCCCTTGGTTGCTGTGAGAGCAGGACCGAAGCAGTGGGCTTGTCAAGACAGTTCCCGTAGCTGTGAGGGGCCTCTCAAAAACAGAGCCAGCCCTCCCTGAGCCGGTGCTGACTTCCACAGAAGGAAAAGGGGAAGGAAGAAAGAAGTATTTTTTAATTAATAGTCTTAATGTGTGTGAGTGTGTGTGTGTATAAATATATAAATATATATACATACACATACCTACACATATTTTTAAATTTTATTTATTTGTTTATTTATTTTTCCTTTTCAGCCAGTACAGGCTACTCTATCATCTTTGAAGATGTTAGATGTGGGAAAGTGGCCAATTTTCTCCCTTTGTTCTGAGGAAGAACTGCAGTTAATTCGTCAGGCCTGTGTCTTTGGCAGTGCTGGCAATGAAGTTTTATATACTACAGTAAATGATGAGGTAAATTTTGAAGAAAAAATTCAGCCACTTACAGTAATGGATTTGCTAAGTTGAAGATCTTGGGGGGAACTAAGGAATTAAGATTTTAAGAAAAGCATGGAGGGTAGATTCTTATTTGTTATATAATGTTACACAATGAAGCAATAATTATGGGTTTGTCAGAAATAGAAGTGCTCGAACTAACAGTGGTTTTTCCCACAGATTTTTGTGCTTGGCACAAACTGCTCTGGTTGTTTGGGATTAGGTGACGTCCAGAGTACCATCGAACCTCGGAGACTGGATTCTTTAAGTGGCAAAAAAATAGCCTGCCTCAGCTATGGGAGCGGCCCCCATATTGTCCTTGCAACAACAGGTAACTTAGGCACACAGGGTAGAATTTTAGCCACTGCCTTATTTATTGAGAAACAAGACTTAGGACCACCCCTTAAATCAAGAACATATTTTTTGATTGGGTAGGAGTTTCTGGCTCTGCCCTGTGAACTTGACTGTACTTTGGACAACAGGAAATATGAACCTATCTGAATATCAGAGTAAGATAATGGAGCAGATGGAATCTAGCAATTATTGTTTATACTTTAAAAGTTGAACTATTTTGCATTAAAATGCTGAATTCACTCTGGACTTTCTGAACCTGAGATCCCTGATCTATGAAATAAGACACTAGCACTAATGTCCAAGATGCCCTCTTAACTCCTAGCACTCTGGGATTCTGACCATCAAAAGTGACTGATGGCTATATTTGATATTAGTAGTATAAGGAATTGAATACTTTCATGGCTATTTCATGAATTCACACTAATAGGACGTTATACTTAAATCATACCTTAGAGTTTTTCTTAAGCTGGGTATTCATTTTATTAGTATTCTTTGAACTGAAAATAAAGTTTATAAACACTCTTTTGTATACTTATTTCACATAAATTTTCAGGAATTTTGGTTGCCAGTAATAGGCTAGATTTTTTGGACCACTTCTTCACTGGAAACAACTAAAAATTCTAGATAAAATATTTAATTTTTTTTCATTGAGTCATCAAAGCACTGACAAGGCAGAGAGGAATTACTGGATCATATTTAAGAGAAAGTGTGAACTAAGCTTAAAGGGGAACTTAGAGCTAGTTGCCTTAAGGGCATCTGCCTCTCCAATTAAATGGAGTTGTGGTTTGATGTACTCATGAGGTAGAAGGGATCATGAGTCAGAGACCTAATATGTTATGCTAGGTCCACAAAGGGCTACAATCTAGGGGCAAGGATGGGCTAGCTCTCCCATCTCTAAAGCCCTGAAAAGAAAAATCCTTGGCTGTGAGCAAAGCAAGGAGGAACAAAGAAAGAAAACCTCTCCCCAAAGTGTTGTAATCATGGATTTGTATTCCAGTTCACATCAGACTGAGTGGTCCAAGAAATCTCAAGCCTTGGATTTATTAAAGAAGCACCTTTAAGTGCCTTAATGGCATCATAGAAGTTAATGCAGGTCCTTTCTAGAGGAAGGTACCTTCACTTCATCCTAGGACTGAGGAAATATAATGCCAATGAAAAATGAGTGTTCAGTGGCAATTAGTAGCACATAGTCAAAGATAACCAGGTACACGAGGAAACAAGGCACCATGAATAAGAACCAGCAAAAAAAAAAAAAAACAAAAACAAAAACTGACTACTAAGTATCAGATATTAGAATTATCAGATACCAGTTACAAGATGGCTATATTTACTGTGTTTGAAAAAGTACAAAATGAGCTTGAAGATACCTGCAGAGATCAAAGAAGATTTGAAAAAGAACCAAATAAACAACATAATTATCAAAAGAAAAACTCAGTGGGCAAGTATTATAGCAGTTTAGACACATCAAAAGAAAATTAATAAACTGGAAGATTAGAAGAAATTATCTGGAATGTAACACAAAGAGGTAATATGGTAGAAAATACAGACAAAAGGAGTATATACTATATGATTCCATTTATTTAAAGTTCGAGAACAGGAAAAACTGAATTCTCTTATTCAAGATTATATATGGGGAACTTTTGAGCATCAAGTTGTATATCTTGACCTGAGTGGTAGTACATGGGTATGTGCTTTATAATTATTTATAAAACTGCATATATATTTTATGAACTTTTCTGAATATGTATTATACTACACAATGAATAATATAATAACAACGATTTTAAAATTAACTTGATGATCATTTTATAGATAAGAAAATAGGCCCAGAGAAGTTAAATGATCTTACAGTCTTTTGACTTTCCATCTGATGTTTCTTCCTATTACTCTTAGGAGCATTTCTCTGCTGTTTATTAAAAACCTATCATCCGGCTATTAAAATTGTATCCATTTAAATTTCATCTTGTTGCTTTGAGATAGAATATAGTTTATATTTTCCAAATGTATTCTTTTGTAGAATGAGTTTGGTGCTTTTGCACGTGAATTTTTAGTTTTCATTCATGGAGGTGTGCAATATATATGATCATATAATAAAGTAGCTGTTTTGAAAGCTGGTTGTATTTCTTTTTATTTTCAGAAGGAGAAGTCTTTACCTGGGGTCATAATGCTTATAGCCAGCTAGGCAATGGGACAACTAATCATGGTTTAGTGCCCTGTCATATTTCTACTAATTTGTCAAACAAACAAGTCACTGAAGTTGCCTGTGGGTCTTACCATTCTTTGGTGCTAACATCTGATGGAGAGGTGAGAATAATTAGCGTAAATCTCATTGATTTTTTTTTCAGTAAGATTATATAGATTCTTATAGCAGTCTTAGAAATGTGATCATTTGATTAAAATAACCGTCTTCCTCAAATTCAGTCTTATTCTTGTTAGCAATTCATAGTCCTGGTGGTTATATCATGAAGTGTACCTTTATGTAGTAGGGATTTCTATAACTGCAAGATTTAAAAGGCTGTAATGTTCCTTCTGTATTGCTATACTCAAGAGTTTTATTTGCAAAAAGAAAAATCCCAAAATGCTGGAAAACATGGCTAAGGTAAAGTTGATATTTTAATAATATTATGTGATATCTGAACAGAATTATTGCTATTTGTGTAGATAATACCGATAACCTAATTTTATCAAGTAATGCATTTTGTAGGAATGAATTTTATAAAAACTTCTCTGCCTGTGGTGTGAGAATTTATGGATATCCAGCACTTTGAGACTGAAGATGAGACACTATAAGGACATGTTAGTGTCCATTTGAGACACTTTATAAATTAGCGTGTTTCATTTTTCGATTCCCAGGTATTTGCCTGGGGTTATAACAACTCCGGGCAGGTAGGATCTGGATCAACAGCCAATCAGCCGATCCCTCGAAGAGTCACGGGCTGCTTACAGAATAAAGTAGTTGTGAACATAGCATGTGGGCAGATGTGTTCAATGGCAGTGGTGAACACTGGGGAGGTAAGAAAGTTATTTCGTATGTTGTTTAAAAAAACCCATTTGCCTTACCAGTGTCATACTGACATGGCATGTTTCTCAACAGAGAGCTTGCTTGCTTCTGTGTTTCATGGGCATTGAGTCTCTGGTTTTCCCTCAGGTCTATGTCTGGGGTTACAATGGAAATGGGCAGCTTGGACTTGGCAGTAGCGGCAACCAGCCAACTCCCTGTAGAATAGCAGCTCTGCAAGGCATTCGTGTCCAGCGGGTATGTCCACAACTCATTTATATGTGCCTGTTTTTAAGTCTTTAGTGGCAAAGATACCAATGGACACAGTTTTCTTGGCAGATGGAAAGTTTAGCTGCTTGATATTTTCTTCAATGAAGTAAAGGCTAAAGCTCTATTTCCCTGAATTAAGTTGTAGATGTTCATCAGGAAATTTATGTTTCTAGGCCACTCTCATACATAGCTGTTGGAATGTAAATTGTTACGATCTTTTCCAAGGAAACTTTGGCAGTATATATCAAGAGCCTTGAAAATATTTATACCCTTTGTTCTATAATTTTATTCCTAGGGTATTATCCTAAGGAACCAAAAAGGAAGACACTTACAGAACTATTGGAGAAGATATAACAAAAGAAGAAAGAGAGAAAGAAAAAAAAATGTTAACTTCAATAAATAAATAATAGATGTAACATAATTTATCTAATCAAATAAGTTAATGGTTGAATAAATTATACTAAATCTGTATGAATGGAAATGTTTGCAAAAGGTTTTTAATGATATGGAAATAGTGCTATGTGATGTCAAGTAAAAACAAAGATACAGACATGGTGCATGGAGACATGATACATATCCCTATATCTATATAGAAGTAGAAAAATAATCCTGATCTTGAGATTACTTTCATATTTATGCTTTTCTACATTTTTTTAACATTGAACATGTTTTACTTTTACAATAAAAAAGAAAAAAATTCTTGAAAAGTAAAAGTGTGTTCCATATTCACTCCACACCCCTTGATCTCTGTGAGCATGATGAATGCCATATTAAAGCTGAACAAACCAGACTCATGTCACCATGACTCGTGCTGAACTTATTGCAGTTTTGGCCACACATAGGCTAAGCTAGTTCTGGACAAGTACTAGTTACCTTAATGTTTTGCCTCTCTGAGCAGGATGCCTCTTTTTTTTTTTTTTTTTTCATCTTTGATTCTTAACCTATCTTGTGAAAGCATATTTGCAGGCCTAAGTGGATTTGGTTTTTCCTCTTTCCAGGTTGCCTGTGGCTACGCACACACATTAGTGTTAACAGATGAAGGCCAAGTGTATGCTTGGGGTGCAAATTCTTATGGCCAGTTGGGCATTGGCAATAAAAGTAACCAGTCCTATCCTGCGCCTGTCTTCATGGAAAAGGACAGGTAATATGTGCATTTTCAAAATAACTTGCATGTTCTTTAGTGATAAAACAGAAGGTAGACATGGTATAGAATTGTGGGGAACTTGCTGCTAATATTAGAATATTCTTTCATGAGAGCATTCATTCCTTTTCAGAATTGGCTTTTGGAGGCACCTGAGTGGCTCGGTTGAGCAGCCGACTCTTATTTTCAGCTTGGGTCATGATCTCAGGGTCCTGGGGTCAAGCCCATCATCGGGCTCCATGCTCAGTGGGGAGTCTGCTTGAGGATTCTCTCTCCCTCTGCCCCTCCCCACACTCATGCGCTCTCTCTCTCTCTCTCTCTCTTAAATAAATAAATAAATCTTTTAAAAATAAATAAATAAAATAAAATTGGCTTTTGAACTGTTGGGGAATTTGTATGTTAAATATTCTACTTTCACTTTCCCATATTTCAGCTACTCTACACTAACCACAAGGACTAAACCTCCAACGACTATGCTACTTTATTCTTCTCCCTCACAAATTACCTTTTCCTCCTCCTTCTTGTTTTCTGTTTTATATTCTTAAGAGGAAGTTGAATAACACTTGAGGTCAATCTTCTGTGGCTTAGGAAAATGAAAGTATCTCAAATAGGGTAGGGTATAAAGCTATTCACTCAGCTCCTTATAAAATGTGCCAGTTGAAAGGATAGGACTGTCTCATTATTTTAGCTCCCAAGCTGTTACTATGAGGAAGTGTAAAATGGTTAGAAAATTAAGACTTAGTTTTGCCCACTTGTTTGCAGGTTGTGTTAAGTAATTTGCTGGTTAAAAAAATCCAGAATTTTTCCCCAAATTATCCTACTATTTCTGAAAGCCTTTTGAGTGTCTCAAACATGGCTATGTCACTGCCTTTTCATTCTACATTTTTTAAATTATTTCATTAGTCTTTCTGTTAAACCAGGGTTGTAATCATTGTAGAAATTAATATATTTCCTTTTTTATTGTGCATATTAATTGTTAAATCTGATTTTATGGACACATAGATTATTTTGCATTTTTATACAATTCTTTTATATTTTCCTGTTGGAATATTTAACAACGAAAGTGAAGAACCAGACTGTCATTTTCAACCCACTTGTTTTCATTTGAGTGTTATAAGCTTGGCTAATTTTATTTAACCTGTGTCAAATAGGTTAAAAAAAAAAGACCTGTTTTTGGTTTCTTTCCCCAAAATCTTAGGATAAGACCCTGGACCTCTTAAGGACTGGGAAGGAGGAGAGGGACTGGAGGCCAGGAACTGGTGGGTGTGCATAGATGCACACAGCCATGCTATTTTCATTTCCCTTAAAGGTAGCTCAGAGCTACTCAGTGGAAAGAGAAGGGACAGTCTTGAGGCTTTGAACAATCACAAAACTGCCTCAGTTTAGCAAATCCAGTCAGTAGGGACATTTACTATTTAGACACACAACAAAGAAGTGTTAAAGGATCAAGTAAAGGTGTCATGGAAATAAGAACAACATATTTGTATGGCACTTTACCATTTTTCTGGTGCTGTCACACTTCACGTACGTTTTAACTCATCTGCAACTGGGCTTGCCAGATCCACTGCTATCTGCCCACTGGCAACTTGCCCCACGTTGCTCTGCTGGTCCCAGTCACCCCAGAATGAGCGCCAGGTCTTCTGACTCTAGTCACGCTGGGCCAGATGGATTATAGGGCACTGTGTTGGGGGAGGCAGGAGAGGCAGAAAAGCAGGGCAAGGGAGTTATGGAGTGTTAGCTCCTTACCTGGTACTTGAGAGTACTGCTTTTTTGTCTGTTTTAAAAAAACTCAGTTTTTTAAAAAAATCTTTTTGACTTTTATCAAATTTTGAATTATAAATATAAAAAAAAAGTGGAAATAGCTACACACTTGCATGCTCACTCTTGTCCACATAATCATTATTTTGGCTCTAAATATCATGGATGAATGTTTTGAAGGAGATATTCCTGCTTTTCTCTTTTCCATGCCTGAATTTGCTGTGGTCATCCCTGAGTTTGCAGGCTCTCCACCACACGAATATTGCGAGGGATGAATTTGTAAGTCTGCTGGGACTTGTTTTGCACGTACCCACCTTTTCAGTGACTGAAACTTGCAGATATGTTATGACTTATCTCTCAAGAACTCACTTCTGACTCTTTGGGACCCATTTCATGGAAGTTTGACTAATTAGAAACAAAAGGATTGAATTTAGGGTGGGGTGGATCTCCCAGTCCTGGTTACCTATTCACAGAAGTGGAAAGTGAAAATCTGTCTACGCTGGATCCTTTGCTCAAATGACAGCCCAAGGAAAACCTTTTAAAATTTTTCCCACAGAGGTCTACTTCTGATGAAGAATGCTAATAACATTTGTTAGCAATTTATGTTCACATAAAAGTAATTTTAATGACTAAAGTGATTCTCTTCTCTCTAATCCAGTCATTCCCAATCTTTCTGAAGTCTCAATATTTTGATTTACCAGCATTTGTCTTTGTTCCTGAAGTTTCATAAAAGCATATTTGAAGTCAAATTGATTTAAAGCTAACTTTGCCTTGTGTTTCTGTGAATTTTGTGACACCTTGTGATAATTGGTAATATGTTGGCCTCTTACAAAGCCAGGCTTGGGAGTCACTGCTCTGGACCCTTATTACCATTCTTTGTTCTCCACTCTTGCTCACAAGTCACCTTTTTTCTCTCCTCATTGTTTTCTGTTTTACATTCTTCCTCACTCTCTGCATTTTCGTTTCTAGTACCACACCCATTAAGCTGCGGTCGTTGGGGATTACTCTGGGGAGGTGACACAAAACTCATTTATTAGGAACGTGTAGTACCTTCTTGTCATTGCGCGGGGCTGCAAACTAAAATGTGAAATATGCCAGACATCCTGCCAGTGAAGGTTAGCTCAGTTCACAGTCACCGTCTGTTGCATATTAGACTGGAAAATCTGACCTTCGGAATTCGCTTCTTGGTGTGAATCAGATTTAAGAACAGATGACCTTGGGCCACAGCAGGAAGCCTTGGCAGTTGGTTGGGTCCCACGCTTAGACCTGAAGGCTCCCTCTAAACTGTCTCCACTCTTGTTCCTGTAGCAGCTGCTGCCGTCAGCCAAGCCCGTGCCCCACCCCTGACTTCCCGTGCGCTGCTAGGTGCTCCAGGTAAACGTCACGAGGTCGTGCGTAGGGAAGGCCAGCACTCCACAGCCTTCTGCATCCCAACCCCTTTGCCAGGTCTGTTCCACCCTTTCTCCACGAAGCCGTGTTCCCGCCTCTTGTAAGGGCGAAGGCTGCTCCCGTTCCATGGAGGCTCATAAAGATATTCCAGAAGCAAATGTAGGAATTAAATTATTCTGGTTTTCTGATGTTGGGTAGAAGGACACTGTTGTGTTTCCATCAGTTACATTTTTCATAGAACATTATCAGGGAAAAGAGATTTTAAGTGGTCTCCCAGAGTTCCTGCAGCCATTGGTAAACACTTGAGTCACCAGAAGAGACTGGTTTTGAATGTGTCCTGTGCTGGGTAGCTGATTTCATTTACTCTTCACCACAAGGCTGTGAAATGCCTGCTACCTTATCTTCTGCTCTCCTCACCTTTTTTTTTTAAGACGATAAAATGGATGATAAGAGTCTAAGTAACTTGGCCTCCACAGGCTGCTGTCTGACCCCCCGCCCATTGCATCAAGCCGCGTAAAATGAAGTATGTTGCTGCCCTCACATTTGGTGTAACGTGAGGGTAGATGGTAATAGTAGATGCCCTTTATTTGAATAAATGTATTTACTCTATTTCCTTCCCCTTTTTTCCTTATTTGTTGAAAAGAGAAGCCAAATAGGATTGGCCATTTTCCCTGTGTGGGCAAGGAAGTTTCTTTTGTAAAGCCCATAGTGGAAGTTTGGGCCCATTCATTGACTTAACCATGCAGGTAGGAAAGGTCTCACTACCTGAATTGATCATTGGAAATGTGCAGTCTCTATATGAGGGAGGCTTTGCCACTGAAAACACTTAGCAGTAATTCTGTTAAGAAACGTCTACTGGTAGCTACTATTTGTACACCAGACACTGTGCTTGGTGTTTGACGTTTTATCATTTAATTCTCACGTACTAGCCTTGCAGTGTGATGAAACTGAGGCTCCTAGAGGCTCGGGAACATTCCCACGGTCACATGGCCTAGTAGAGCTAGGATGAACCCTTAGTTCTGTTTGACTCCAGCATCCAGGCTCTTCACCGTGGCACATCATACGTAGCCTTGTTTCTAGTACTCCTGTCTTCAAGAGCTGAGAACTGCCCTTGAATAAATCAGTGAAATCGCTTGGGCCACACATGAAAACAATACATTTGGAGGCAAGCCATCTCCAGCTTGTATGATGTCCAGCTTGTATGATGTCCATCTTCCCCCCTTGGCTGGGAAACATCCATTTAAAACAAGTGGTGGAGGGATGTCTCCATCCTTCGATTGCTAGCCTGTCAATGGGGTCTTACACCCCTCAGTCGCTCTGTGTTGTTGAGTCTTTCCCAATTAGTCAATAAAATGACATATAAATTGCTTAGGAAGACACCATATTAAGGAGAGAAACACAGAGAGAAATAAGCCAGTGATTCAGCCTGCCAACAACTTATAATCTAGCTGAAGAGGTAAGACATACATCCCAGAGAGGATAAGGGCCAGGCTGGAGTGGTGTAGACAGGATGTGCTTCAAGAGCTCAGGTGAACGAGAGATCTCTTAGTTTGGGGCTATTTGAGCTGGGCCTTGAAAGATGGGCAGGATTTCTAAGGCAGAGAGAAAGGAAAGAACATTCTTGAACAAGGGACTTTAACTGTGAATAAGAATATTGAGGGGCAGTGAGTACATCTGTGTGTTGGAACATAGGGTATGTAGGCAAATGTGATTGGAAAGAAGGCTAGATTATGGAAGGTCTTAATGCCACATGTCTGGATTTTATCTTGTGGGAAGCCACTGATGGTTTGAAAGTACTGATGAGAATGGTGTTTTCAGAGGATTGTTAACCTGCCAGCCTTGTGCAGTTTGGTTCAGAAAAGAGAGAGTCTAAGGCAGGGAGACAAAGGAGGCCGTTACTTTGGTCCAGATATGGGGTGTGCCTTACCTAGGGTGGTGGCAGATGGGAGAAATTACAAAGAGAGAATCTCTATGATTTGTCAACTGGATATTCTGAAAAAAAGTGGTTAAGTGAGAAGGGAGAAGAAGTCAAAGATGACTCTGAAGTTCTGAGCCTAAGTCACTGAGGATGGTGGTATTATGGTCTGCTATGACAAAATCAGGATGGCGACCTCACTTAGGGTAAACTAGTTCGCTATGTTTTCTGAATCTGTATAGTGGTTTATACTTAGAGAAAATTAATTAGTTCCAAATCAACAAAAACAGAGTTTTCCATTAGAGAAGTATACAGACAACTACCCCTGTGGCCATCATGAACTTACCGTGCTGGGGTCTAGCATATGTCAGTTTCTGAAATCTGCTCTCTTGGGCTCTTGAAGATAGAGTCCAGTGACTCAGAACTATTGACCTTACTGTTTGTAGTGCGAGTTGGGGTGGCCCACAGCATGTTCCATCTAACACTAAAATTGGTGAAATTTTGATGAAAATATTTCTCGATATTGGGTCAAGACCTGCATTAAGTAGCCCAAGTTTTTTTACATACTTCATTAAGTCCTGTTTTAAGAAAAAAAAAATTAGATCACTGTTTGGTTAATTTGTTTGTTTTGGTCTCTCCCCTTGGATTGTACTTGCATTTCACAATGGGATGGTACATATTTTTGGAGGCCTACTGGCTAGAAGTGGTAACAAGCAGATCTTCATGACTTGCGCCGTTGAAGGATAGCTAAAATGTAAATAACTGTTTGGTGCCTGAAAATTTAGGAGATTAAGTCTTCTGCTGTTTTTTTTTAAATCAGTTAAGGCGAAGGGAAGGAGAAATCAACTTGTTTCTTCTCCTGTTTGCCGTGTTCACTTGGTCTTTCTTTGTGAACTTAGAATTATAGAGATCGCGGCCTGCCACTCTGCGCACACATCGGCGGCCAAGACCCAGGGCGGGCACGTGTACATGTGGGGCCAGTGCCGGGGCCAGTCGGTGATCCTGCCCCACCTCACCCACTTCTCCTGCACCGACGACGTGTTCGCCTGCTTTGCCACGCCTGCCGTCTCGTGGCGCCTCCTGTCCGTAGGTGAGCAGTCTTTGTCCCTTTGGGTGCTGGCCTGAACACTAGGAAGGCAGCTCTGGTGCTTTCTGTTGTGATAGTAAGGACTTTTTTAGGTGCAGTATCATACAATTGATTTCTGTCTAATGGGCTCCTGTGAAAGGAAACTAATTTGATGGATTAATTTTTCCGGAAAGAATCAGAAACCAACATCACATACATTAAAAGCAATTTTATTTGACTGCTTTTAATTTTCCTGGGAAACTATATCTTTCATTTTTAGCGAGTCTATTTACTGAAACATGCAAAAATTTCATTGAGTGGAGCCCTTTGGGGCTTTTTAGTTATTGGTTTGCCAGATTTACAAGCAGATGTGTGTGAGGCTCTTATCCTTGATGATAGAGATGTGAAAATCCGTATTTAGGGGAAAAAAGCATTGCTCCATTGGTCATGTATTTTGGGTATTTTCATGAGAGTCCACAGAGCGGTGCTATATTCTGGCCTGCGTTTTCTCTATGTCTGTAGTTAACCCTAGAAACGTTTGGTGTTCCTCTCTCAGAACCCGACGACCACCTTACGGTGGCCGAGTCACTCAAGAGGGAATTTGACAACCCCAATACGGCCGACCTGAAGTTCCTGGTGGATGGAAAGTACATATATGCACATAAAGTCCTTCTCAAAATTAGGTAAGGAATCATTGATTTTGAGAATTGAAATAAATACATTCATTATGTTCTAGGTGTTCACAGAACTATGCTAAGTAAGGCTGATTTTGCCCTACGAGCATACAGTGTAGCCAGGGAAACACAGTATGCGTGACACGAGAAATGAGAACTAACGGGGCCGGTGTAGTGAGAGCCGGGGGCGGGGGGAGGAGGGGGTATCAGGGAGTGAGGACTCTCGGCTTCCGTAGAGACCTTGCAGGTGGTCTGTGCACCTTGGTGTTAGGGCAGCCAGCCCACGCTCGCTCGGCGAGTGTGTTCTGGGCTTTGAGCACCGCATGGGCCACTTCCACAGAAGGGGCCTTCCCCGCCTAGGAACTGAGCTTTGTCACCCCCCTCATCAGTTGTGGGATAGTGAACTTTGAGATGCTCGGAAAAAAGAGAAGGTGAGGCTTTTGCAGGACAACAAGGTCTGGGGTAAAGTTAACACAGATGACAAAAATCAGATTTATTGATGTATAATTTTTGAGCCAATGAGCTGCATCCATTTGAAGTGTGCAGTTTGAGGAGCTTTGACATACATATTTATGCCTGTGGAACCACTGCCCTAAATCAAGATATAGAACGTTTCTGTCACCCCTCAAAGGTCCCTCATGCCCCCGGTCTGGGGCAAGCACTGATCTTCTTTCAGTCACTCTAGATCAGTTAGCATTTTCTAGAACTTTATGTTAATGGAATTCATCTCCTTTAAATGGAAAAGTGTAATCTTTAGTGCCTGGCTTCTTTCTCTTAGCATAACGATTTTAAAAATCATTATGTCGTTGTGTACCAGATATTTAAATCCTGTTACAGTGAATCACAAACGCAGCATGGCATTTTAGTCTCAGGTTCAGCTCTTAGGTCAGGCCGCACAGCATGTGTTCCCTCTCGCGATAGCTCGTAAGCCTACCTGGAAGAGGTGGGGGTTATTAGTGTGCTAGGCCTCCTGTAACAAAGTGCCACACGCTGAGTGACCTCAACAACGGACACGTATTCTCCCCCAGTTCTGGAGGCCGAAGTCCACGGTCCAGCGGTTGTCAGGGTGCGTTTCCCCTAAGGGAGACTTCACGCCTCTCCTCCACCTTCGGGTTGTTTGCTGGCAGTCTTCGGCATTCCCCGACTTGGGGCAGGATCACCCCAGTCTTTCCGTGGGGCTCTCCCTGTGTGCATGTCTGTGTCCAAATTCCCCGTTTTTATAAGGACACTAGTCATACCGGATTAGGCTCACCCTTATGACCCTCATTTTAACTTGATGACTTCTGTAAAGGCCCTTTCTCCAAATACTGATAGATTCTGAGGTTAGGGCATCAACCTATGAATCGGGGGGGGGGGGGGGGGGGGGAGGGGGGGACACCATTCAACCTAGAGGAGGAGGTAGAGAAACAAAGTTACTCAGCGTTCATGAAAATAACCCCACCTGATTGCCATAAAGGCCGCTCAGCGGCCGTGGCGCGGGAATGCGGCCTGGGAGGCCGGCCTTGGGTTTGCCCCGCATGGCGGCGGGGGCCGCTCCGCTATGGCGGGGCCGCGCCTGCAGCCTCGTCCCGTAAGTGCTCGTGAGTGAGCTCTCTGGCCAGCAAAGGAAGCGAGGGACCAGGACGGGGAAACGAAGGTGTGCAACTGGAAGCGAATCCTTTGCGGTGCTGTGTTTTCCCCTTCTCGTTGTCGGTTCCCCCCTGTGAGCCCCACGAAGACGTGTCTCTCGGGGCGGGGGGGCGTCTGCTCTCGCCGGGAGCGAGGGCCCCACGGGCTTCTCTCTTCCTTCAGGTGTGAGCATTTTCGTTCTTCACTGGAAGACAACCAGGATGATATCGTAGAAATGAGTGAATTTTCGTATCCTGTTTACCGAGCCTTCCTGGAATACCTATACACGGACAGCATCAGCCTTTCTCCGGAGGAGGCAGTAGGTAACCGCTACCCGGCTTGTCCTGGCGATCGGCAGCGTGCTGAGGAGCTGGCAGGGCGGAAGTGGCTGTGAGGGCGACCACAGACGTAGTTCCCTTGTTGGGCGTCAGACCCAGAGCCCTTTCCCTTGTTACTGCTTCGTACACAGGGTGACTTGGTAGCTGTCACACCGCCAGCGCTGTGGAGGGGCTGCCATTCTCCCGGAACTAGTGTACGTCAGTAACGCGCGTGACTGTCCAGTGACCTGCTGCCTTCCGGGTGTTTGCAGCATAAACAAGATAAATGCACGCGGTAATAATAAGCCCTGCCGGTCTCCAGAGCCAGGAATTTCCCTCCACGTGGCTCTGGGACCGAACACTGTGGGCATTCTGGGGCCTTCTGTCCTGAAGGTGGTGTGGGGCGTTCCCCGCACCTCAGGCGTAGGGACAGTAAAAAGCAATACAGGTTATCAAACAGGCGCAGAGTGAAAAACATCCTACATGTCAGGTTACAGCCGTCAGCAATATTGTTGGCCAGAGGCACAGAGAATTAAAGAATTACTTCTATAAGGAATTAGAGTTCAGCCCTCAAATTTTTAAATGAAATATTCATTTCACATGTATACATCCAATATCACTTTGTACCTGATCAGCATTTAATTTTCCTCAGGGAAACAGAAATCTGATTTCTGAAGTTTTATCGTTTGCCCTCCTTTCTTCCACGAATGATTTAGTGCCCATGCCCCGTATGTGCCACAGCTCTGGCCTTACGCTGGGGAGCTGGTATTCGGATGAACACCAGTCCTAAACAGGTCAATCCAGGCGGTCAGTTAGGAGGGCTGGGAAAGCCTCTGGGAGGAAGTGTGTGGAGCAGAGAGCTGGGGGAAGCAGGAGAGGGCAAGCAGTGCCCAAGGGAAGAGCCTTCTAAACACGGGCAGCAGTGAGTGCAGAAGTCTGAGGCAGGAACAGATTGGGCATGTGGAGGGGGAGGGAGGGAGGCGGGGGTGTGAGGGAAGTGACAGTCACTGTGGTAAGTATTAGGTCAGGCAGCGGGATGTGGGCAAGAACACGCCTGCCCTTGGAGGCCATGGTGAAGTGCTTGTTTTATTCTTGGTATGATGGAAAGCCTTGGAAGGTTTTGCGCATGAGGCTTCTGTTATTTAGGATTTGCTTTAACAGCAACATTTTTTAAAAAATTCGGTTTAAACAGGATAGTTTCTCTTTCACACAGGGAGACAGGGCAGGGCATCCCTACGTGTGGCTCCTGCACTCATGGTCCAAGACTGTGTTTGCATTACCTGTGGCAGGATGGAGGAAGGGACCACGAGGAAGGGGCAACGGGCAAATCCCAGTGTCTCTTAAGGCAGGGTCCTGCAAGTTCCACTTATTCCAAACCATGGACCAGAGATGGCCAAGGACAGAACCCCAGCTGCATGAGAGGTTGGGGGAAGTGGTCGTGGAAGAAAGAGAGAATGGATCTGTGTGGATATGGGGGGAGGGGGATGCGAGGCAACTTCTACAGTAGGAGTGATGTGATTTGTTTTATTTTTTAATTTCAGTTTTTTAATTTAAATTCTAGTTAACATATATGGTAAGATTGGTTTCAGGTGTAGAATTTAGTGATTCATCACTTACGTGTAACACCCAGTGCTCATCACAACCAATGTCCTCCTTAATGCCCATCACCCATTTAGCCCATTCCCCGCCCACCTCCCCTCCGGTAACCTTCAGTTTGTTCTCTAGAGTTAGGAGTCTCTGTTTGGGGACGCCTGGGTGGCTCAGTCAGTTAAGTGTCTGCCTTCGGCTCAGGTCATGATCCCAGGGCTCGAGCCCCACATCGGGCTCCCTGCTCAGCGGGGAGCCTGATTCTCTCTCTCCCACTCCTCCTACTTGTGCTCTGTCTCTCAAATAAATAAAATCTTAGAGAGCAGGGGGAGGGGCAGAGGGAGAGGGAGAGAGAGAATCCTCAAGGAGACTCCCCACTGAGCACATGCCTGACACAGGGCTCAATCCCAGGACCCTGGGATCACGACCTAAACCAAAATCAAGAGTCAGCCACTTAACCAACTGAGCCACCTAGTTCCCCCTATAGTTAAGAGTCTCTTATGGTTTGCTTTCCTCTTCTTTTTACCCCTTCCCCTATTTGTTTTGTTTCTTAAATTTCACATGAGTGAAATCATATGGTATTTGTCTTTTTCTGACTGACTTTTTTCACTTAGCATAGTACACTCTAGCTCTATCCACGTCATTGCAAATGGCTAGATTTCATTCTTTTTGATGACTAATACTCTATCTTCTTTATCCGTTCATCAGTTGATGGACATTTGGGCTCTCTCCATAGTTTGGCTATTATTGATAGTGTTGCTATAAACATTGGGGTGCATGTACCCCTTTGAATCTGTATTTTTGTGTCCTTTGGGGTAAATACCTAGTAGTGCAATTGCTGGATCATAGCATAGCTCTATGTTTAACTTTTTGAGGAATCTCTGTATTGTTTCCACAGTGGCTGCACCAGTTTGCATTCCCACCAACAGTGCAAGAATGTTCCCCTTTCTCTGCATCCTCACCAACATCTGTTGTTGTTACCTCTGTTAATTTTAGCCATTCTGACAAGTGTGAGGTCGTATCTCATCATGGTTTTGATTTGCATTTCCCTGATGCCGAGTGATGTGGAGCATCTTTTCATGTGTCTGTTAAAAGACCAGTAATTATGATGGTTCAGTTGCAAGGTGACTGTACCCTGGGTTAGGGTGGCGTAGCAATGGAGGTATTGAGAAGAGATCATATTCTGGATATATTTTAAAGATGAAGCTGATGGGATTTGCTCACGGATGGCACGTGGGGTGTGAGGAAAAGAGAGAGGGATCACTGCTCTAAGGTATTTGGCCTGAGTAGCTGGGTTAATGGAAATATCATTCACTAAGATGAGGAAGATGGAAAGCAACAGGTTTTGCCCTTGAGTTTGAAAAGTCAAAGGAGTTTGAGTTGCTTCTTAGACATCTGCATGGCAGCTCTTTTTATAGGCCCACTCCCAACATTTGCCGGGCCCTGGGTGGGAGTCCAAATAAAGGCCCTTGTACATTTGTATAAAAATTCAAAGTTATATGTTTCAGTTGAAATATGTTCAATCCTCATACTTTGAAAAATATACCTTTATTGAGAACTGAAAGGCCAGGCTGGAGTTGTAGTTGGACCTGAAGATTTTAGGACTCCTTAGAGTTCCTCGAGGGAATGCACAGGAAGCACAGACCTCAGGCCTCCAGCTTGCGGCCAGCCATCTTTCTTTACCCACCACCAGCTACACCCTGCATTGCAAGGGGTGTGTGGGTCTCCCAGTGGCGCATACAAGCTCCATCCACCCCCATCCTGCTGGGGCTGGTCATCTGTGCACTGGTGGCGTGGTCTGGAGGGGAGGGAATATCCACATATGTGGCCTCAGGGCCAATTAGGTAGGGAATTCCAGAGTCCCCTGTAATCCAAGTGTGGTCTAGGAGTGGGTGCATGGCTCCCTGGTCACTGTGGGGAGGATTGTGCCTGGAGGAGGTGCAGATCCAGGCTGTTTTGAGCTGGGGCTTAGGACAGGGTCTTCTCTGAGGGCAGCATTTCTGTAATTGTGAAGCTCAGGAGGGTGTGGGGCTATAGATAGGAATTTGGGAGTTTTGGAGAACTGACCGAAAACAATTGAGCCATCATAGCTCTCAAGATTTCAAAAGATTTCAGTTCCTCCATGGGGCCATAGGCCCTTCTTCTATAATTTTGATAGTATTGGTCATGTTACAATGAAAACAAGCTTCCAGTCCAGTCCTCCCACATGCACCCAACTTAGTAGCAGAGAGATGGAGAAACATTTGATGTTGTCAGATTGATGAAATCCTGGCTCTTTGTGCTTTAGGCTTCTGTGAAGCACCTTGCATGAAAGGTTAGCCTGCAGTAGATGTGACCCTTTTCTAGTAGAGGATACAGCTAAGCTTTTGATCAGGCGGCAAGCCAGGCCTGAGTGTAGACCTAGCAAGTGTGCCTCTCCGAGAGCGGGCACTACTGGTCTCCTGCTGCTTCGTCCCATTCACGCGAGGGCAGGAGGAGCCTCCAGTATTTCTAGCCAGGCCTCCTAGCCAAACACCATGCCTTTCGTAATGACAAAGTATTTCTGGCGTTCTTTATACTGATTAACAAATGCTCTCATGGAGATTTAGAGAGCCATATCCTTGGCTTACATAGGTTTCTCTCTCTGCGGTGACTGATGTGAAAGTAGGCGACAGAGAATACAGCAGGAATCATCAGTATGTATTAGATGGCATTTTAAGCTGGGGGACAGGGGGTTGGTGCTGGAGGTCACTGAGGACTGAACCCTGGGGCACTCAAACATGGGGAAGTTAGGAAGAATGGCCCAGCCAAGAGACTGAAGAGAATTAGGGAGAAGAAGAACAGCAGCAAGTAACACAGTTTCAAGAGTGTCACCAACCACATGGAATTCTGTGTAAATGTTGAGTGAGATGAACTGGCGAACAGCCCCTTGGGTCTGGCTCCATGGAAGCATTGGTGGCATCGGGGCGTCAAGGGGATGGGATTCTACTGGAATGGCTTCGGGGGAGAATGGGAAATGGGAACATGGAGGCAGCAGACAGAGAGGATGTTTCCCAGGTTTGCAGAGAAATGGGGGAGACTGATGGGAGGCACATGTATCCATGAAAGGTTTCTCTTTTTTCTTTTGTAAAATTATGAGCATTGTTTCAGCATGTGCTGAGGGAAATGACCCAGGAGGACGGGTCATAATGCAGGGGGAGGGACAATCCGAGCAGCCTTTCTAGGAAAAATATTCAGGCCATTTTCACTGTGCGCCTGCTTTGCCACAGCTGCTCATTTGTGGGTTGTATTTGCTCAGTTCGGCTGCGTTCCCAGGTAGAGCCACGCTCAGGATGGAAGTCAGCGCAAGTCTGTGTATACACCGCTCTTCCCCAAAGCTTATGTTCAGGTATGCTCTCTGAAGGAGGGAGCGAGTTGAAGCAGGATGCTTGAAATCACTCCCCCTAATAAACATCTCTTCCCACCAGGGTTGCTAGATTTGGCTACATTTTATAGAGAAAATCGTTTGAAAAAGCTCTGCCAGCAAACTATCAAGCAAGGAATCTGTGAGGAGAATGCCATCGCTCTGCTTTCGGCTGCCGTGAAGTACGATGCTCAGGTCAGAAAAGCATTCTTTCAACTAGTTGACCTTCTGGGAAAATGTTAGGTGTTTACTTCATACATTAAACTAAAATCAACTCTAAGAGATTAAAGATTTAATGTAAACAAGTGAAGTAACCAGAAGTACCAGAAAAAGTGAACATTTATATATTGTTAGGGTAGCTCTCCCAGGCAGAAGCCATAAAGGAAAGGATTGATAGATCTGATTTCAGAAAGAAAAAAAAAAGTCTATACACCATAAATACCACCGAGAAAATTAGAAAGTAAATGATACACTGGGGAAAATATCTGCAACATATCAAGAAGCACATTTACCATAGTTAATGCAGAATTCTTGGAAAACAAAAAACATGAGCGTTTGATGGAAATAAATGACCAAGAACAAAATGGGCTTATGAATAAATGGAAAATATAAGTGAAAACAAGGTATAATTTTTCACCTGTGACACTGGGAAACATAATCTTAGAGATAATACAGCCTCAGCATGATGGATGTTCTCCTGAACAGCCGCTGAGGGTGTGAACTGGGGCAGTTGTGTCGGGGGTGATCCGTACCAAGTGTACTGAGAGCTTTAAAGGTGCAATTCTTTAAGGAATTCCCTTGTAGGAATTTATCGTAAGGAAGTGATCATGGATTTGGACAGAGACTTAGCTTCAAAGATGTTTATTGCAGCACTGTTTATAATTTTGAAAAATTAGAAAAAGCCAACAGGAACAGTGGAGGATTGTTTCCACTGTAGAATGTTATATACTATGAAATTATACAGCTACTCAATGTATTATTAATTGAAAAACGATGTCCCTATTTTTGTTTTTTATTAATGCATAAGTAGCTGAATTTAAAAAGACTGAGATTCATTATCTACATAGAGAAAAAAGACTGTCAAAGGTCATCTTTGAATGGTGGGATTATGGATGATTTTTATTTCCTATCTTTGCTTGTTTTTTTCTGAACTTTCTACAGTGACCATGTATTGTTTTGATAATAAAGAAAGGAAAAGCTGTCTTAGAGCTAAATCTTTAGGAAGCAGGCCATACTTCTTGGAGTCGATTTCCTTTTGTTATAAGGATATCCTCTCCTTTGGTCAAAAAACAGGAACATTTAGTGGTGGGCAGAGAAAAGCTTATAACTTCTTTTCTGCTTATATAAATAAATATGCTTATTAAAGAAAATTTGGAAAACATAAAAAGTAGGAGGAAGAAGATGACTCCTCAGCCAGAGAACATTAACATTTTCATACAGCTCCTTCTGTTTTTCCCTAGGTCACGTGATATAGATTTCTCTAAACTGGATTTTTTTCACTTAACATTTTAAAAAAATCTTAACCCACCTTGAAACCTTCACATTTAAAAGCATAGTGAATGTCTTTCATCAACCTAATCATATATTGGGCCCTAAAACATGCAAAATGCTTCATGGCTAGGCATCGTCTCTGCACAGTCTTTCCTCAAGTTTCTTGGAAGTCATGGGGGGAGTCCTGGGGGCTGGCGGGCTCTCTCCCAAGTGATGAGGCAGTGGGCACACAGTGTTTCCACCTGAACTAGGCTTCATTTTCAAGACTTCTTCATAGTCCCTATTTATGTGAATTATCTGTATGGTTACCTTCCGGCCCTCGGTTTTCTAGAAAGTAAGCTCCTTGAGGAATGGCAGGGACTTTGTTTTGCTCCCAACCTTATGCCTAGTGCCGAAGGTAGTGCCTAACACAGAGCAGGAACTCCTTTCAGGTAGAAACCTTTGAGCTCCTATGGGGGAATATAAAAGTGGAGTATTTTGCAAATGGAATGAACAATGCAAATACTGTCTCAAGAATTCATACACATGGTGCCTATGCCTATCTCTGAGAAGAGAAAGATTCTTTGTGTGGGCTGGCATGGAGGAACTTGAATATTTTACTCTGTGTTATTTAAATTTTTACAAGCATAGACTCACATTAGCCGCCCAGTTTTGTGCGGTACCGACATCTCTTCCTCTTGGCTCTCAAATCCTTTTTCCTTCCTGTGTCTTAGGAATTTTCATGCGATGTTGCATTGCATTGGAATATACAAGTTTGTTAAAACATTTTTTGTTGTTATTCCTAGGATTTAGAAGAATTCTGCTTCAGGTTTTGCATAAACCATTTGACTGTAGTAACACAGACTTCAGGCTTTGCAGAAATGGACCATGATCTTCTCAAGAACTTTATCAGCAAAGCAAGCAGAGTTGGAGCCTTTAAAAATTGATCCTCACCTGCAAGAAATAATTTTTAGCATTTCCATTTTCCCTGCAAAAGCCAGAGAATAACTTCTCCTTAATAGTATTTATGATGAGCTACTCTTGACTGAATACTTACGTTCTGTCGAAAGAAGGCGGTGGTCAGTCTGCCCCATCAGCTGAAATCTGAAGTTGACAGTAGAAAGCATTCAGTGCTCTGATCAGATGTGACTAAGCCCAAGAGAAAAAAACTGAAATGTCTTATTTACCATTTCCTCTTTCGAGTCACTTAAGTTGGACACTTTTGGTACATTGGTCTAAGTATATGCTATTCTAGCCAAATTTTCATTCTTTCAAAAGCTGGTATCACACAGAAAGCTTGACGAGGAATGCTGTCATAACATATTGTCAGCATCCAGCACAGTGCCTTGCATACTAAGTAGGCACTCAGTTAATTTCTTATAAATCTGAAGCATGCCCTTAGAACAGCTTTATTTGTGGGATACTGGATGAAGGAATAACTTGTACAAAAACAAATTTGAAATAGCCTGTAACTAGTGAGGTTCATATTCTTCTGGTAACTGGTTCTGAGTCATAGTGACTTAACTATGAGCATTAATTAAAATCCACAAACAGCCTTGGCAAATAATTGTCAGAGTCCCAAGGGCTAATTTTAATTTTCTGTTTACTCTGAGTCATTAATTTCTCATATGGGATTATTGAATATGAAGTATTGTCTCTGAATGAATGTTATTTCTGGGCTCATCTGCCTTACATAATTGCATTATGTCTTTCCCTTTTGTGTTAAGAGAGATTTGCCTGTGTAAGTAAAAATGATTATGCGTTTCTCTTGTAGTTGACTTTTATGTCACTATAAAACAGACCTGGCACAGAATAATTATAAAGTGCTAGCTGAAAAGGATCTCACACTTACATTTCATGGACAGCATTAACAAGAATGAGATAAATTTATACTTTTTAGATCAAAACAAGTTACCCAACTGCAAGAGAGAAACTGGAACGGGATGTAGGATGTAGCGTCAGATTCCTCTAATACGTGGTTTCACTATATGATACGTGTTTCAAAATATATTACGTAAAGAAAAACTCTTTTGGAATTAGAAACCTTGTTCTGATGCTGAACCATTTGATAATAAAGTGCTTATTTGCAGATAATAGGACAAATGTGTGGTTTTTTAATCCCTAAGCGGCAGCAAAATTATATCAACCTGACATCACTTAGATTTACAAAAACCCATTTGATAAAAACTTATTTTTGGAAGCAGCTACTCAGATAAGGTATCATAGCAAAGCCCATCCTAAAACATTAGTGGCACATAACATAATTACTGTTCATATTATTAAACGTGACTGCTCTTTATTGGTGAGGTCACCTTCGTTTTTGTTTTTTAAAGACTTTATTTGTGAGAGAGCACCCATGCACGCACAAGCGGGCAGAGAGGCAGAGGGAGAGGGAGAAACAGACTCCCCACTAAGCAGGGAGCCTGACCACATGGGGCTCGATCCCAGGACCCCAGGATCATGACCTGAGCCGAAGGCAGACAACCGACTGGGCCACCCAGGACCCCCGGTGAGGTCACTTTTGAATCCTTAGTTCCTTTTTATCTGTTTTTGCAGACCTTAGCTGGTAGGGGCAAAGTGGCCTGGATGTCTCTAGTTCTAAATCAGAATGCTGTTTTTAGAATTATGTAGTCTTATTCAGCTATTTGTTATTTTAAGTCAGCCATATATACCATTTGTTTTGATTATTTGATAGATGTGCTATTTTATCTAGCAGAGTAACATTCCGACGTGGGATTGGCCACAGCTATCAGCTTGGGCTGTTGGACAGCTGCAGGCTGCGTTGCTGACGCTCCCCGCCTCAGCCTCCTGCGCCACTGACTGATGCCTTTCCATCCTCATCAGCTCTTCTGAAACCTCTTCCTTTCTTGTCTATTTCTGACGGGGTCTTCTGAAGCTTCTTGATGCCTCTTTCTTTTATGAAATCATTTCACGTAGAAATTGGAACACTCGGGGCGTCTGGGTGGCTCAGTCGGTTAAGTGTCTGCCTTCAGCTCAGGTCATGATCCAGGGTCTTAGGATCGAGTCCCACGTCAGGCGCCCTGCTTGGCGCAGAGTCTGCTTCTCCCTCTCCCTCTGCCGGCCACTCCTCCTGCTCGTGCTCTCTCTCTCTCAAATAAATAAATAAAATTTTAGAAAAAAAATTGGAACACTCAAAGGGAACAGGTAAGGTTATTTAGGCATGAGAAATGGCCTGCCCTTTCCCGAATGCCACAGAGTCAATAGCCATGCTTCCAGAGTACCAGTTCCTCAAAAGGGCTGGATAGACTTTTACCCAGATTTTCTAAGCTTTGCTATGTGTAGATTTGCACTGCTATGTCTCTCAGTTCTTATCTCTGTGTACAATAGAATGATCTATGGAACTTTTACAAAATACAGATTTAAGGATTCTAATTCAGTACATTTAAAAAACTCCCCAAGTAATTTTGATGTTTAGCCAAGTATGAAAATCACTATTTAACCCTTAAAATCTGGGACTCCACACAAGACAGGGCTAATTAGGCCAGCTGAGAGATGACAGATGAGTCCCGTGGATACATCCCTGAAAAATACATTCCTTTCTCTCTGGTCTTTGAGGATAGGCTTGCCATCAACACTCCTATATGAGGGATCACAACACTTTCTTTCTAACAGATGAGTGTTTGTAGAGCCCCAGAAACCTTGCTGTTCAGTTAGGGATATGTGAGGGAAAAGGTACATTTTTCATCATAATGACACTGCATCAGAGATTAACAAATCCTTATCTTACATAAATTCATCTTAGGTTTTTCTATTCTCAAGTTCTGTTTCCTCTCTGCTCACACAAGGAAGTTCAATGATTTAGTGCTTCTGGTATAATTCCAATACAGCTTACACAGAGAAGGGTTAAGATTTTATAGGAATACCGTCACTCGCCAATAGAGGTTTGTGAAGATATCATTTAATGCTTTTTTTCTGTTTTTATTTTTTTTTAATTTTATTTATTTATTTGACAGAGAGAGACACAGCGAGAGAAGGAACACAAGCAGGGGGAGTGGGAGAGGGAGAAGCAGGCTTTCCGCTGAGCAGGGAGCCCAATGTGGGGCTCGATCCCAGGACCCTGGGATCATGACCTGAGCTGAAGGCAGACGCTTAACGACTGAGCCACCCAGGCGCCCCTCATTTAATGCTTTTTAAAACTAAAGGTTAATGTTCTTCAGCTGAGACCTGAAGAAACTGCCAGTCATTCTGGACCAAACATGATTTCTATTTAGAGGCAGGATTCCTGAGCAGTGATAATGAAAAGAAACAATGATAAACTACATAGTCTTGTCTTGTTTTTTGTTTTGTTTTGGGTTTCTTTGGTCTATCTTATTAGCCCTCCCCATGCTACTATTACAACAGACGGGTTGGGAAAATTGCAAAGAAAAATGAAAAATCATACCTGTTATTTTTAATTCAGTCTTTGCCAAAGCATAAACACATAAACCATACTGATTTCCTCTCACTCAATTCTGTTGAAATCATGACATTTTCTGTCAAGGAAATAAGTGAGCTTGGTCTGTGGCATACATTTAACTTCCATATTAAATTGTCATTATCTTATATGCCAGTGCTAGTATATAAGTATACTCCCAAAATAACAAACACAGAAAAAGATTCCCGAGAATACCCAGCTTCGTATTAAAAAAGCTTGTTTTAATTCCATTCAGACATTATACTGCGTTATCAAGATACATTTCTACGTAAGATGCTATACTTGTGGTAGAAATTTGCTATTTCTAAAGGCAAGGTTTCCTGTTGTCCTGTAAAATACATATTTAGTCCAAAGGAAAATTCTACTGAATGAATCATTACTAATGCCATGGACACCAGCCCAAAAATGAGGAACAAAAAGGTGCCTTGACAGGCAAGTTTCTTTGAAATCATCCAGATGGCAATAGAATTAGTAGATAAGGTTTTTCTCCCACCATTTGCACCTGAGAACTGTAATGAGGAGTAAATAAATAAATGAATTTGAACTTGTCCTTTTTACTATAAAGAGCTTTAACTGCTAGAATGCTAAATCTCTGAAGTGATTAATTTTCTATCATCCAGACTAAAAACTTGTAGTGTCATAAAGACTGCTCGATTTTGCCTTGCCCTAAGAGATGCATTTCATGTAAGATCCCCATCCAACAAAAATACAGTCCGCTGAGGTATGCTTGCTGCTTTTCCGGCCCTAAGCTCTTTGCCTTGCTTCCTTCAGCAACAAACAGGCTGCCGTTCTGGGAGGAGACAATTTCACTTCCCATCCTGTTTTTGAGAAATCATATTACTTAAATTCGAGGTATTCCCTTATCTGAAACCCTTGGTACCAGATACGTTTCATACCTTTTTTTGGGAGTTCAGTACCTATGGTACATATACCGCATGATATGTAATACCTGAGTAGGGCCGAGGTTAGATTCCCAAAATCAATGTATTAATATTTTTGTAATGAAACAAGAATATTCCTACTAAGTGGGATAAAGGCTGTAAACAGCTCTATGTCAGTTTAGATATGCTTTTGATGCCACGTTGACTTTTGTCACCAAACACACAGACCACTTGGGTTTTTAAGCTTTTTAGATTTCAGAATTGCAGATAAAAGACTGTGGATTCGTGTTATCTATATCTATATGGGATGTTTGGGAGGAAAGGCCTTTAATATATACATTTTGCGGGGTGTCTGGGTGGCTCAGTCATTAAGCGTCTGCCTTCGGCTCAGGTCATGGTCCCAGGGTCCTGGGATCAAGCCCCGCATCGGGCTCCCTGCTCCACGGAGAGCCTGCTTCTCCCTCTCCCACTCCCCCTGCTTGTGTTCCTGCCCTCGCTGTCTCCCTCTCTGTCAAATACATAAAATCTTAAAAAAATATACACACACACACACACACTTCGTATGAGATGAACAGAGATTCTTGCTTCCCCGCTCCTTGTCTCATGACTATCTCTGTTTCTCGGACGTGCTATTATTGTTCCTCAAGCACACAGGCATATTGCCACCTCCAAGCACTGGCTTTTCTGCTCTGTGGATTGTTTTCCCGTCATTGTACAACTTACTCCCTGGCCTCTTCCAGGCTTTGCTCAAAGGTCATCTCAGGAAGTCTCTCCCTGACCACCCTATTTTACATTCTTAAATTCCTTTCCGATCAGCACTCCCTATCCTCCTTGCTATGTTTTTCTGCACAGCGCTTAATACAATCAGACACACTATTGTTTATTCACTTGCTCCCTGTCCCTGAAACTACAATTAGATGGGAAGCTCCACAGAGATAGGGATCTTAGGTTTATTTACCCATTGCTGTACTCCTCGCATTTAGAGCTGTGTCTGGAACATGGTAGGTACTCAGTACGTGACATTTTAAAAGAGGAAGAGAACATTTATTATTTGTTTCCATATACTTGGAAAAATATGCAAAATACATTTTTTTTTTTTTTTTTTTTTGGACTACAGATGGGCTTCTTCTAGGTGCTAGACTCTGAGATCAGCCAGACTGATGCTTCCCATCTGAGGAGGGAGGTTGATGCAGGGATGAGTAGACAGACAATAGGCATGTTAAGGCAGATCTAACATTAGCGGTAGCAGCTGGTTATGCCAATACCCAGTGTTCAAGAAAGATTAATGCCTAATATTGACAAAAAGAATGAGCTATTTGGAAGTCTAATATATGTTCATCTAAAATTATTACCATAGAGTATGTGCTCAAAAATTGTTGAATTAATTAATGAATGTGAAAGTCCTTTCTGCAGAATCATGAATGCAATTTCTGTTTTATGAATGTATCCTTCAAGACATATTTAATAAATAAGCCTTATAATTCTATCTGAAAAAAAATAGGCATGTTAAGGCAATTTCTGATGGTGATAAACGCTGTTACACTTTTGAAGGAGAGTAACATGATGATACAGAGTAAGGGTTTTAGCTTGTGTGGTCAAGGCAGGCCTCTGAGTTGATGCACCCTGAAAGACTGGAAGGAACCACCTATGCAAGCTTCTCAGGGAAGAGCACTCCAGACAGAAGGAACAGCAAGTAGAAAAGCCTGAGGTAGGGAGAGGGTTGTGAGGAAAGGTCAGCGTGGCTAATGCACAGTGAGCAGGGAGAAAGTAGCATGAGAGGA